TTAAGGAACCCTGAACCTCTTGTTCGGAAACCTTCTTAGTCTGGAATGCCTTATAAGGAACCCTGAACCTCTTGTTAAGGAACCCTTCCCCTCTTTTCTGGAAACCTTCCAAGGAACCAAGAAGGTTCTCACTTCGGATTTTAGCATGCTCCGGACAATCTTGCTTTGGAATCTCTTGAAACCAATCCGGAAGTTAGTATTTGACTTCGAAACTCACCTAGTACCTCCGGAACCCTTGTCGGTTCGCATCCTTCTCCCAGTTTTCGACCACTTTGGCGTTTTAAGCTCATTTTTCATGATTTTCGCGTGGGATTTTCACCAAAACTTATATTTGACATATAAGACAATATATATTCATATTTTAATCACATTTTGGAGGAAATATCAACTTAAGAACAATATCTAGTGGGTAAGATATTGAGATAGAGTGTTTCTCTTTCCATGAAGTATGACTCAAGTTAATCCCCATACCCAAATAGGACAACCCTTAGTCACTATTCATCCATACCTAGTCAACTATTTTTCCTCTATTACCTCTCCTCCAGCTGGTATCTTGATCAAAGGATGGAAACCCCCATCTCTCCTACCACTTTACTCACTCTCTCACTAAGAAACAAATACCTCTCTCTTATTTCCCTCTCTCAAGGAACTCGAGACTCCAAGGCTTCCTTTGAGCTTTTCACCCTCATTCAGTCAGTATTCTCATCCTACCTTGAACCTTATTCACTCCTTCACTCAGATTATGAATCTCTCATAACAAAGGTCATCATATTTGTTACTATATCTTCAAATCCTTAAGTATCTCCCAAGTGTTCTTCACTTGGAAACTCCTTTTCTTCATCATCCATCTATTGAAATCAGTCAAGGTGAGTTCATACCCCCACATTTTCATGTTTTCTTCAAATTTTAAGGGGAGAATACAAGTTAAAACCCCAACAAAATAACTAAACCCAAACATAAACTTTCAACAGAAAAGTTAATGTTCATTCACGAACTGTTTTGGACATCTTAAACTTTTTAGTTTTCAAAACTGTATTAGGTTCAAATATTTAAGTTTTATACCTTTAAAATAACTACTTTCACATGTCCATCTGATTTTTCTACAATATGATGATTTTTACAAAACTGCCTAACACTGTAGCTACGAATTCGGACCGGTCTGTGAATATGAACATTTTCACACTAGTTAGAGAGTTCTAAAAATCATAATAAAATTTATGACCAAACTAGACACATTTTTTAAAGTCTTAGAGTTTATGGATTTAGTTTTTGATTTTGTATGAATTTTCTGTGATTTTTCTAAATTGGTGCAGAAATGGTAAAAATGAATTCACGGATTAGAACTTTCATATCACTTTGTAACATGTTGAGCAAAGTGTTAATCCTTGATGACTTCATATTTTGCATGCATTTTCTATTGGGATATAAATATATAACAGAAAAATGTTCACTAAGTTGTAAGAGCCTTTAGTATTACAATTAACACATGATGAGGCATAGTAAACTTAGTTATGTTTTGCTACATATTCTACTTACATAGAAAAGGTTACTGTACATTGCAAACATCTTGATAAACTATAATAGGTATAGTTTATGTTTCATAGACATTATGAAAAGGTATATTTCTACAAAAAGGGGTTTTGAGTTTCACACTACGTAAATCAGTTAATAAATAAATTTGTGAGACATTCGCTTCACGTTACTTCCAAAGTAGCGCAACAAAAGTGTTGTAATTATAACCAAAATCTCTTGAAGGGAGAGAATGATAGTTGTGTATAGATCTATACTGGGTCTGACAAACCCACACCTTAGCTGCATGCAACAGCTAGACCGGTAGAGGCTTGGGGTGACAAATGTCATTTACATTCCGACGCCTGAAGAACATCGTATACAAGGCCGACTAAGTCATAATATGGTTATAATAACTCACATGGGGTATTAACAAAACATAAGATTTACGAGATTTCCATTTAAACAAAAAAGTTTATGTTAATGTAAACTTGCATGATATATAATTTCTATGGAAAAATTCTAGTACACAAATAGTTTTGGCATTTAAGGCTACATCACATTGTTAAAAAGGAAAATATTTGATTTTTCTGGAACAATCGTTACTTTTACAAAGAAATGATTTCAACATTTCATTCAAAAGCTTATGAACTCACCAACTTAATTGTTGACACTTTTTCAAAACTACTTGTATTCTCAGGGAATCAGTAAAATGTTTAACATTGGAAACATGCATATTTTCTATTGATATTTCACATACGTTATCTATATATATATATATATATATATATATATATATATATATATATATATATATATATATATATATATATATATATATATATATATATATATATATAGGGGATAGGGAATATACATTACAGCCGTAGATAAGCTTGCATACAAAACCCTATAAACGACATCGTTTGCTGCTTTACAATTAAAACCCAATTTTGGGGAAAAAAACAAAACAAACACCGTGTTTGGGTGTGTGCGGTCATAAAAATCAGAAGTAACAAGGGGGGAGCTGAGACGAGGAGATAGGAGCAGATCAAAGTAGGAAACACAATTTGAGGTTATTTGGTTTAAAGAAATTGAGATGCAGAGGGCATATCGAGCGTACATGGGTTATCAATCCCACTGTGTTGTTGTGTAGTCAGGGGAACACAACTAAGAGGATGGTAGTCGCCGATGGCGGCGTCACTGGTCACCAAAGAGGGAAACGACGACGCAAGCGATGCCGCCCAACTGGAAATCGTCGGAAAAGGTGCGGGTTTTGGGTTCTCAATCTTCCTTCTTAACATAAAAGCTTCCTTTTTCTGATTTGTGGTTTCGATCCACCAGGTCAGTAACGACGACATGACCTGGATTGAAGAAATTGTAACAATTTTGGTGAAAGAGGACTACAGATGGTTGGGGAATGATTCAATAGTGAATCTTTCTGATTTTTTCCCTTGATTCTTGTTCTATTTACATCGATCTGGTATCAGTTGAAGTCTGTAATCGACAATTGAAATTTCAATGGCCACTTACCTTCATCGATTGAAGTCATCATGTATAAGTTGGGACAATTGATACAAAATTTTCTATCTGTGTGTCAATTCTCCTTTTGGAAAACATGGGCGCTTTCTCTATTTCAGTTAAGGAAAGTGAGAATTCTTTCAATTTATCATTATCAACATTCTTGTTGCAGGTAATCTTTCAGCCTCTTCATTTCCTTTTACCCTTTTTTATGATGCTAATACATTTTGGCATTGTGTAAGATTGGGTAGGATAGAGAAAGATAATAATTATATCACAATTATGGTGGAATTGGGAAGTGGATGAAACATTGTATCAAGGATGGAAACAAATTATTAAGGATCTTAGTGCCAAACGTATTAAAGTCATGATATATTGCAATCCTTCTCTAGCTCCAGTAAGTAATCATTTTCTTTATCAAAAAACACTTGTAAGGGCATTCATGTCTTTTGAAGATTTTAATTGATATATATTAGATGGATAGAAATCCAGATGCAAGGAGAAAGCTATTTTAAGAGGCAAAGAAGTTGGACATTTTAGTAAAAGACAAGTTTGTCGTTTTACCATGATTATTGTATTTTAAGGAATTATCATACAAAGATTTTTATTGCTAACATTTAGCTATTTTGTTGGTCTTAATGAATGGGTTCCATGTGGATATAAGTTTCTCCAGTAATTTACATATGAAGGTTACAATTTTCTCAAAACCTCATTGATTTTTTTGCAGGTCATCGTTATGGTAGATAATCTACTGTTCGGTTCAAGAGGAAGGGTAAAAAGGGAAAACAATCCTTACCAATGACCAATACGGGCAACAGAGGTAATTTGGGGACTACTATGAAACTTAAGGCAGGAAGGGTAAAAAGGGAAAACAGTCATCGTTGGGTTTAATGTTCATCACTCTTGTTTGGTAGATTTATAAGTTTGTTGTCATTAGTTGTAATTAGTTGTAACGATTTGGTAACTTTATATATGGTGCTGTCATATTTTTGGCATTTTTTGTTCCGGTTTGTAATATGTACATTCCCGACCATTAGTTGGGCTTTTTTTATTATAACAACATTCTTATTTCAAATCTCAAAAAGAATATGTTGATTAGTAGAAGCAGTCTACTGTTGCATTATACCTATTAACAACATTATACTTGAATCAATTTTCTTTTTAACAAAATAATACTTTCAACAATAGGATTGTACTTTCATTTTGTACACATAATAGCATTGTACTTTCATTTTTTACACATAATATCCGCGTACTTTCATTTTTTACACATAATACCCCCGTACTTCCCTTTTTTACACGTAATAACATCGTACTTTCAGTTTTTATACATAATACCCACTACTTTCATTTTTTACACATAATTGCATCGTAATTTCATTTTGTACACGTAATACCCCCATACTTTTGTTTTCTACACATAATAGCATCGTACTGTCATTTTTTACACATAATACCCCTCGTACTTCTGTGTTTTACAAATAATACCCCATACTTTCGTTCTCTACACATAATAGAAACGTACTTTCACTTTTGACACATAATACCCCTGTATTTTCATTTTTTTACACATAATAGCATCGTACTTTCATTTTTAGACATAATAACATCATACTTTCATTTTTTACACCTAATGCCCCCGTACTTCCTTTTTTTACACATAATAGCAGTAACCATTCAACATTTTCATTCCAGAACAGCAACGTACACGATTTATGTCCAAAACTGGAAAAAAGACAAGTACTTAAAACTAAAAAAAGGGACGCTTAACCTAAGCTAGAAAAATGAGTATAATTAACCAAAATCATAGCAACTACATATCCCATCAATGTTTCTCTTGCAACGATTCATCTACCTGATACATGAAAATATAAATAGATTATTATATAAATATAAGAACTGCAAAATCATGACAAAGTAAGTTACTACTATACGCACCTTTCTTTTAGAACAACTAGTAGCATAATGACCTAATCCTTGACAATAAGAGCATGTTCGTTTTTTGGCACTTCTAAAGAAGACTTGATTCTACTAGCAATTTTAGGACGCCCTTTCGTGTTGGTTGGAGCATGAGGATCCCAGAAAAATAATTGAGGCATCATATCGACTTGTGAAATTCTCACACAAGAACCTTGAGATACATTCTCAACTGGTAAAGGTTTTTTTCCATATTGCTTGATCTTGTAAGAGCTTTATCAATACGTTATTGACATTTTCTATTTCTGAAGGGGAGTCTTTTGCTTGTTCAATTACTTTATTAAAATTTGAACGAACACACCATAAAGTGTAAGCACTAACCCCATTTCCGTTATTCATTTCTTCGAGTCCGATACTACGCTTACCCACCTTGTACCTAGCATTAAGGGTCCACCTAGGTAAAATGTAGTGACTCGGAAGTGGGTTAACATGCCTTTTCTTCATCACATATAAGATATGTTTACATAAAATCCCACAAGCATCATACTTAGCACAAGAACATGTGACATGGATCTTATTTGACAAATAAAAGGTAACAATCCGCCAATATTTTTTGTCAATGTCCAATTGTCCAACTCGATACTTGATTTCTTCTGTACTTTTGCTTATAGTCTCATGCGTTAAATTGCTAGTAGCTTCCATCCATTCTTTTTTGAAAATCTCAAATACTTTTCTAGTATAACACTCACCTGCTTTTGCTTCAATTGGATGTATTGACGAAAGAACTGACCTCGAGTTCATAGTCTTGAAATCTTCATCTTCTTCGGCGGCCCTTCGTGAAGCGACTGCTTTGTCATATTGCACTAAAAAGTCATTCAACATGGTACTCGAGTTAACAAAATCATCAAAAAATGAATTAATACTCTCACTTCGTCCACTTGTTGACATACCGGCCAAGAAAATATCCTTTAAGAAGGCTTTAGCCCAATGTACTCGTTGGTTATACATATCAGCTATCCAACAATTGCTTTCAAGTTTATACTTATCACGTATAACTTCCCACCTAGTTTCAAATTCTTCAATTGTGTCACTCATTACCCATTCTTTATATGATTCTTGAAAATCACTATAATGAGCAACATATGGTCGAAGGTGCTCTAATTCATGTTTTTTATATGTCATGCACAAAAGCGATGTCGAGCGTTTGGAAACACTTTTTTATTGCGCTACCCATAGCTTTGTCTTGATCAGTAATAATAGCCTTTGGGTACTTGCTAAACATACATTTAAGGAAATGCTCAAACAACCATACAAAAGTTTCTTCCTTTTCGTTTTCTAGCAACGCTCCACCAAAAAGTACAGACTGCCCATGATGGTTCACCCCAGTAAATGGAGCAAAAGGCATCTTGAATTTATTTGTCATATAAGTTACATCAAAGACAACAACATCTCCAAATTTAGTAAAATCGCCTCTTGATCTTCCATCAGCCCAAAAAATATGTCTAGGACAACCATCACTGCAAAAATCCACAACATAATACTAATCATTATCCACTAATGCTTTATCTTGTAAATGTTTTATTAGTCCATAAAACTCCCTTCCTTTGTTGTGTTTTCGTTGCTCAGATAATGCATTAACACATAGTTTTGAAGTAACATCAACTTCATTTGAGGTTTTCATTGCATTAATAGCCTTTTTAATTTGAGAAGGTTTCAACCCTGCTTGATTAAGTTCCACCATGAGAGATTTACATTCCATTGTACGGTGGAACTTCGCATGAGACCGATGCTTCATCACTTTTGTTGGTGTCATGCTCAATTCGTGATTGGGTGTGTCATCAAACAAGTCCACAAACCATTTCCCATCTTTCTTTTTTGAAATTCGAAACATTGCTTTGCATCCGATTCTATCTTCTCTACGACGTTTTTTCTCATTTCCAATTGATGTATTACCATCCTCCCGTTTAAAACCTTCTTTGTCGCATACAAGTGTCTTTTGATAAGGTTCGTTTGTTCCCTTATTTTTGCATGTGGTATGAACACGTATACTAAATCCATGTACAAATGCATAATCATTATAAAAGTTATATGCATCATCAGTTGTATCGAAAACCTTTCCTAAAATACTTTCATTGTTCAGTTCATCTTCCTCACATTCAACATTTGCATCTTTTATTTCTTGAGTTTCATATGTTGCTTCTAACAAATCATTTGCATCAACATCTTCAGTTGTATGTGCTTCGATATTCCCATCTGCTTCGGTTTCAGACATCATTCACTATACATTACATCCAACAATAATCAAGAATTAGAAAATATAATTTACCAACTAAGATATTTACAAAATGATAGTTTGCTTATTAGAAAAAATAAATAACCAGCAACAATGACAAAATCAATAATTAATATAAAATAAAATAGCATAGTGAATAAAACGAAATAGAGGCCAAGTTCGGTAATTTATTGGCAATTTCAATTACAAATTGATAGCACATTAAGTAGGAAACAACATGAACGCATGCAAGCAAAGTTTATAATTCTTTTTTCATCATTCACCAACATTTAGAAAAAATAATTCAAGATGTATCATGAGATTTTACAAAAAAAAAAAGATTACCTTTTTTCAGAAATCAGTAAGCAACAGGTACCGAGTTGAATATGGTGTAGAAAATTTGAGCAGCAACAAATGAGAATGAACAACCAGTCAACAAAAATCGAGAACCATACAAAAATCGCTTTACAAATTCTACTAGCAGCAAAATTCGGTAATCAATGGGCAATTTCAATTACAAATTGATAGTGCAGTGAGTGGGAAACAATATGAACAGATGCCAATTTCTACCCTTTGTATGTTGTTGTGCGATTTCGAACATGCCAATTCCAATTGCAAATACGATGAATTTTTTTTTTCAATTAACCTACATGATCGATTTCTGGAAGTAAGAAATCCTCCAATACCGAAAATAGAGGAAACAATCAATTTTAGAATATTACGATGATGGAAAAGAAAAACAAGCATGTGTTGTAATTAGCCCAAAACGACACAGTTTAATTAGTTATGTACATAAGCTTAGGTAGGGCTATAATGTATATTCCTTTTTCATATATATATATATATATATATATATATATATATATATATATATATATATATATATATATATATATATATATATTTATGCGAGACGGTCTAATATTGTGAGACCGTGAGACGCAATCCTAGCCACTCATTTAGTTAGATAAAACAAAAATATTTTTAAAATGAAAAATAATTGAAAGTTTTCAATTTTTTTCCAATATTATTTTCAGAATATATATTTTCCAAAAAAAATACTGAAAAAATAAAAAAATTAATTAAAAAAATACATTTTTTACGTATTCTAGTAGAATATTAGAATATTCTACATATCCGGCAAATTTAGTAGAGCATTCTAACATTTTAAATATCATATTAAAATATATACAGTGTAATATTCTATTAGAATATTTCACGTATTTAAGAAACCCTGTAATTTTTTTTAGTTAAATAAAGTTCCGAAAATAATAATTAAAAAAAGAATTTTTAAATTTTCTTTTTATTTTGCATTTTAAAATTATTTTTAGATTTGGTCTCACGGTCTTACAAAATTAGCACATATATATATATATATATATATATATATATATATATATATATATATATATATATATATATATATGGGTAAGTGAATATACCTAATAACCTTATGTATGCTTAGGTACCTAACCACATTATACTACATTGTTTTGCATTATATTTCCATTACAATCGTCTAAAATTCTAAAACTTCAACCATTAACTTGATTTACTTCCAAGATTTTCAGACATTCACCATTATATTCCTCCTACACCATTTGATTTGTAACAATAGTATATGAAGCCCACCAGGGGGTCTCCGATAGAAAGACGTCATTTGAATGAAGATAATGGTGAAAGTCCAAAGATTTTGGAAACAATCAAGTTATGAGGTTGAATTTAAAGAACTTTGGGTGATTACAATGCAAATACGATACAAAATTACATAGTATGATGTGGTTAGGTACCTAAGCTTATATAAGACAAAACTACAAAATTGGTCCCTGTGGTATTCAAAAAACTTTGGATAGGGTCCAAAAAGTTTTCAACTTGCATGGATGGTCCAAAATCAAGAATTTCCTTTGGTTTTAGTCATAAAAACTAGAAAAGACAATTATACCCTTATTTATTTGTTTTTACAATTTTTTTTACATATTTTAAACATTTTCAAAATAATAAAAAAGAAAATGGGTAAAACTTTTTATCACTCTCTCTCTCTCTCTCTCTCTCTCACACACACACACACACACACATCTACACACATAAGCAATTAAACCCAGAAGGCTAGAACATTCAGCAGCGTATCTCATCCTCCAATTTATCTTATGGACCACCCTTCCCTTTCTCTTCGTACCCCACAAACATATTTCACACAAAAACACTAGTTTATGGGTTTTTTTTTTCCATATTTGTGATTGTATACAAAGCCCAGTTTCAAATTTCAATTAGAAGCTCAAATTTCATACACATACACACTAGTTTCGTGCTTTATCGTTTGGGTTTCTCAACCAAGTTTTCACCGTATTTCAACGTCATAGAGGAGGCTGAGAAAGGGTCAATGGTGGTTGTATTGGGGTTATTGATGGAGAAATGGTGGAGATGGAGTTTCCATTCACAATCGTAGACCTTGTGAAGGATCAGTCGAAGGAATCTTGATTGATGGGTGGTTTTGAATTATCGATTTGGATGAAATCAATGCTTCAACCTCTACCAGATCGGAACGACATAACCACCAAGTTTTTTCGGGTTTATAAAGCTAAACCCAGATCTTTGATTATGTGTGTATGTAAGTGTGTGTTGAACCAAGTTGTAGCCACGCGGAACGAATCAATTCCTCGACAGTGAGATGCGATTCCATCGAGACTTAATTTCTAATGGCGTTAGGAAGAAGAATTGATCAAAATGTTGTATGTTCTTGACTTTTTACATGCTCATCTATTGAGTTTTTCTTGCATATGAAATGAAGAAGACGACACAGAGATGATAAAGAGAGCAAGAGGGAGTTAGGAGAGAGAGAGAGAGAAAGAGAGAGAGAGAGAGAGAGAGAGAGAGAGATGAGGCAGGGGAGAGGTATGAGGGTACGACTGCGGTGGGTGCGCCTGTTTTTTATTTTTATTTTTAATTAATAAATTATTAAAAGAAATATAAAAAAAATTAAAAGGTCAAAACCATCATTTCAGGTTATTCTAAGGACCAAAACCACAAACATTTCTTAATTTTTGGACCAAAACCACAGAAAACTCTTGATTTTGAACCTTCCATGCAAGTTTAAAACTTTTTGGACTCTATCCAAAGGTTTTGCAAACCACAATGACTAAATATTCAGTTTTGTCCTTATATAAGATTGTTAGGTATATTCATTTTAACGTGTATATATATATATATATTCAAAATTAATTTCTTTATAAAATATCATTTCTAGGTACTTCCCATTTAGGTTGAGCATTTGCTGCTCACCGAACACATACCTAATAGCAAATTCGCAACAACATTATATATATATATATATATATATATATATATATATATATATATATATATATATATAATTTATTCAAAATTAATTTCTTTATAAAATATCATTTCTAGGTATTTAGGTTGAGCATTTGCTACTCACCGAACACATACCCAATAGCAAATTCGCAACATCGTTATATATATATATATATATATATATATATATATATATATATATATATATATATATATATATATATATAATTGAACCCTCCTCTCTCTCTCTCTCTCTATATATATATATATATATATATATATATATATATATATAGAGAGAGAGAGAGAGAGAGAGAGAGAGATAGGAGGGTTCAATTGAGAAAAAAAAGGTTGAGAATGGAGGAATCATTCTCAACCACTCATTTATTTTTGCTGCAAAAGCCTCCGTCGTACCAGCAAAAATGGAAAATGAATAGACATGTATTTTCCAACAAAACATGTTTCCTTCAACTATGCTAATCATTACCTTAATATATACAAAAACATAGTTTTTTCGTTTTTTTTTTTTTTTAATTTTTAAGAAGCTATTTTTATCGAAAAATGATTTTAAATATACCAAAATTTATGATTTTTTTATTCTCTACAAATAGACACCCATATTGATATAGTTTTAAGATAAAATAATTTTTTTTTTTTTATATTATCAGCTATTGTTATTCATAAGTGAATAAAAATGAATCAAGTTTTTACTACAGTACATTCGGTATTCAGTTAAGAATAAAAACTATTATTAATTTTTTTTTACAATTTAAGTATCATTCATATATGAATATAACATATAATAAACATAGTATATTTATATTTAAATATTAGACGATGCATTCACTTATTAATATTATATAGTATATTCACTTGTGAATATTAGATGGTATATTCACTTATGAATATTAGATATTATTTTCATATCTGAATATTACATAGTATTACATGGTATATTACATGTGAATATTACATAGTATATTCATTTGTGAATATTAGATGTTATATTCACTTATGTATATTACACAGTATATTCACATATGAATATTACACAATATATTCACATATGAATATTACACAGTATATTCACATATGAATATTACACGGTATTTTCACAAATATATATAATTTTTATATGTTATTCACATATGAATAACATATAGACTTGCATATTTTTTTTTTAGTTTTAATAATCATATACTGAGAAAACATATTCATATATAAATATAACGTGGTAATTTAGTTTATGCATTTTATCAAACAGTTGGAGTGCATATAATTTAACTTTTTTTAAAAATATTAAAAACATGATATTTTGACTATTTAAATCTTACAAAAGAGTAGATTGATAGAGAATTATATGAAATTTTTCAAAAAAAAACGATCTGATCTTTTTCTAACCTCAATTTTGAAGTTTTATTTGATAATCGATGTTGAATGAATGATATGAAGTGGATTTTTGTTGATTATCAATGATGTTGATCTAATAACGCTGGGAGTATAATTAATCATAGATGTTGAAGATCTGATAGTATTCAAGCACAATTGAAGGTTGAATTAAAAGAACCAAAAATGAATTTTTGTTGTTAACTGTTGAATCGTGTTGATTATTGACGAAGATCGATGATTGATTAGCACTAGATGATGTTGATTACGGTTTAATTGAAGAAATCTCGATGATTGTTGAA